TTTAATGACATCAAGATAAGACAAGATTTCATTCATCTCATAATAGAGATGTTTTTGCCAATGAGACCAGAAATTCTCAAAGTCATTGATGGCTACCCTAGTAGCTCTCACCCCACTGGGGATGACCTGGCACGGCTGTCCCTGGTTGGCCAGCTAAGCCAAGAAGGGCCCTGCCAACATTCGCCCAAGGACTCCTCTGTATTCCCAAGTCTCGCCAAGACAGCTGCTGACTGCTGCTGGGCCCCTCTCAGTGAGGCTGTGTACTCAGCAGATGATCACCAGGCCCTGCTGACCTTGGAGCCAGTCTGTCTTGTTAGGACAGTCTCCCTAGCTCCACTCTGTTTATCTAGTAATTTACCTTGGGTGTGAAGGGAACACTTGAATTCCCTGACTTTTCACATTCTTAGAGAACTTCACCTTAGCCTTCTGCTATCGATAACAGTAGATAATAGGACCCCTAACAAACATACACACACCCTTCCACAAACACACACAATCGCAAACACACCTACACACATAATCTCTCTCTCTCTCACACACACACACAGTCTCCTACACACAGGACTTTCCATTGGTTTTCAGTTTTGTTTTGCTCTTGCGCACTATGTTTGGCAAAAAGAAAGCAGTTGTTGTCCGTGTGCAAATTAATGGAGATAAGAGAGCAAAGGAGAAGGAAAAGCCAGTGCCCAGCGGTGTCCTGGGTCCCCTCTGAGTGGCAAAAGCAGGGAGAGTGCACCCTTTCTGGAGTTCGGTAAGCAGAGAAATCTAAAGCAAGCTGCAAGTGATTGCTGTTTGCAGAGAGGGAGAGATTCACTCTGCAGAGAGAGCAGAGAAGCACCCAAGTTTGTTGGGGCATCAAAAGCACTTCTCAGAGAAGGTGACATTAAACCTGAGACCTAAAGGAGAGGCTTACTGTGCAGTCACATGGGAGAAAGAGCTTTTGTATTCTGGAAATAAAGTGGACCAATCGCCAGGCATGTGGGGTGCTGGGTGCATCTGGGTGAACCAAGTAGAACAAGGGTAGGACATTAAGGCAGACTGGAGGTAAGATCCAGAGCAAGAAAACCTTTGCAGGCTTTGCCAAAAGGAATTTAGATTTTCTTCTGCAGGCCTGTGGTTCCCCCACCTGAAGGCCACAACCCACTGGGAAGAGATGGCGTTAATGACAGGAGATGGGAGGATCTGCAGGAGCACCAAGCATTGCTTGCAGGAGACTGTCACTCACCTATGCTCCTATTTTTCAATTATATTAGGTGCTTTTGTGGTTAACTTAATATCAGCTCGAAGCATTCTTGAACTTGACGTAAGATGAAAATTATTTTTGAATTCACAGAGGCTTTTATTATTAAGTGTTATCTCAATGAATGGGAATGCAATTACATGTGGCTTTCTCTTATTACGTATTTTGGCAAAAATAGTAAAAGTACAATTACTATCATGTTGGGTCTGCAGAGTTTGGAGGCATTTGGAAATCGATGTTATAGGCAATGGAGAACCACTGAACATTCTTAGAAGTAAAGTGACTTAGAAGTTAAAAACAAAACTAAACCAACCAACAAAAAACTGTTGGCCATACTGGAGGGGGAGACATGAGGAAGGCCAGAGAAAGATCGAGTGTACCTGGGTTCACACCTTGGTATGGGTAAGGGGGACGACCATGAAGATAGTGCCCGACTGTAGGACCTGGAGGCCAGTTAGATGTGAACATGCAGGAAGAGGAGTCTGGGCGATGGTGGAGTTCTGCTTTGCACAAAAGCACAGCTGTTGGGGTGCATTCTGAGCATTCCCTAAGAAAAAGAGCACCCAGGAACACAGGGGAGACAAGTGTTGGGGAGCATTGAGCTGACCTCCCTCCATGACTGTGGTCTGCAGAAGAATGGCCCCCAAAGATGTCCACGCCCTACGCCCTTGACTATGTAGGCTACATGGCAAAGAGGAGCTAAGGCTGGAGATGGAATGAGATTTCTAATCTGCTGACCTTGAGCGGGGGGACTGGGTGGGTGGGTCAGTGTAGCAATAAGGGTACTTGGCCGTGGAAGAGCCGATAGCATTGTTGGGAGACTCCCTGTTTGAAAGGCTTGACCAGCCATTGCTGGCAAGGAAGGATCACAAGCCAGCGAAAGTGGGTGGGCTCTAGAGCTGGGAGAAGCAAGAAAACAGGCCCCGGCCCCTGAGCCTCCAGAAAGGAACATAACTCTGTCATCGCCATGATTGTAGCCAACGTCAACCATAAAACAAAATCAACTAGGTATTCCATCACCGAAAGACTTTATTTGGGGGAAAAGAAAGGACTGCAATCCGATTTGTGCAGCCACGGTGAGCCACGGGCACACCCTGAACTGGACAGAGATGGAGGAGGCAGTTTATAGAGGGAAAGAGATAGCTGAGGGAAGGATGGTGACAACCCTAGGGATCTGTTGGAAACGTCCAGTTCTTTCTGCAGGGCTCTCATGATGACATAGATAGCTCCTCCCATAGGTCCTAGCTCCTCCCACAGGCCCTAGCTCCTCCCACAGGTCCTAGCTGTTTGCACAGGTCTTAGCTCCTCCCACAGTTTCTAGCTCCTCCCACAGGCCCTAGCTCCTCCCACAGGCCCTAGCTCCTCCCACAGGTCCTAGCAGTTTGCACAGGTCTTAGCTCCTCCCACAGTTTCTAGCTCCTCCCACAGGTCCTAGCTCCTCCCACAGGCCCTAGCTCCTCCCACCAGCTCTCTAGATTTCTGTCCAGGTTTATATCTTGGTGATAAACTTCATCACCAGTGAGACCCCTTTTAGATTTCTCACCTCCAGAACTATAAGGTAAGAAACCTGTATTGTTTTAAACCACCACATTTGTAGTAATTTCTTACAGCAGTGATAGGAAACCAATAGAGTGAGTTCCATTTTAAGTACCTGCAGGACACTCCGGAGGAGAATGGATGGGAATGTGATATTCTGCTCCAATGTGTCTTCCTTTTAGAGAGAAACCTCAGGCTCCCAACCACATGCAAACTGTGTCTCATCAAGACTGGGCTTTATTGTTAGGATTGCACCTTATATGGGAGACAGAGGCAGCTGTGACTGGGTGACTCAGACTAATAAACAATGACTGGAAAAATGGCTCTAGAGTCACAAAACCAAGAAGGTGCTAATCTGAAGCAAGAACTTCTTTCACGAAAGGAGTCAGGGGACACCCTGGCTGAAGGCTGGAAAACGCAGGACCCCTTGACTTCCACACAATACTCACTTGGCTGCCTCGTCCTCACTCCCCAAACCACCTTTGTCTGCTAAATCCAGTCTTCACCCCCTGTGGATTAGCACCCAGGGTGTCCTAATGGGCAGGCTCCCCCGGCAGTCCCACCAGCTCAAACAGCAGCATCTGTTACATAGTCAGACTGTGCATTTCCTGGAGTAATTTATATTATTTTGCTCTTATTTTATAAAAATGGGTGGAAATGAAAAAAGTGACTGTGCTCTTATCCATAAAAAGCAAATGCCTCATAAAACTTGATGGAGTTGAAGGTGAGAGCCATTGGGGCCCAATTGTAAGTTGATCAGCTGGGTGTCCTGCTGGGAAAGAAATTAACAGAACCTAGCAACAAGGCCAATCAGAGTGGACATTTGCTGAGCGCTTATGTCGCTCAAGCACTTTATAACCCCGGTGGCCCACTGGGGTAGGTGCCATGCTTATTCCCTTTATAGGTCTGAAAGTGTAGACACAGAGAGGTTAAGAGGTTAAGTAGCTTAAGGAATCACAACCAGTAAGAGGCAGAGCAGGGATTCAAGCTCAGACAGCCTGACTCAGAAGCCCAGGGCTCTCCTCCCCTTCCTTCCCATTGCCACCACCCCTCCCTCCCTGATGTCATGGTCTCCCTGAACGCATTCCCCACGCCCTCGCCCAATACCATTGCCTCTCTGTCATCTCCTGCTCTTCCACTGTGTTCCTTCTGTCTAGTCCACACTGGCCTCCAGACATTCCTCTGCCTCAGGGCCTTTGCACTTGCTATTCCTTTCAGAAAACTTTCTCCCACATACTTCTCATTCCCTCACCTCCTTCAGGTCATATAAACATCTCCATGCAGCACTCTCTGACCCCCTTTAGAGGGACAGGGAAGGCAGGATTGGGGCTGGGTGAGGAGAAACTTCCAGGTCCCCTGGGCTAGGATCAGGCTGCCCGGTGGAGGCCAGTGAGGGCAGCTGGCTTTGGGCACTTGGGCACAAGCAGATGGGTTTTGGTTGCTCTCTGCAGTGTTCCAGTGCATGGGGATTGAATGTGCGGTGGATCTGCTAAGTCGTAGCCTGGCCTCAGAGGCACCGTGGGAAATAAAGGGGATGGCCCATCGTCTACTAAGATGACCAAGAGCACGGTCCACCCCCTTGAGGCTGGAGGGTGAAAAAATGACAGCTGGCCCCTCAGAACGGTCCTGTCCACAGGGCCACATTTCCAAGAGCCCCAGGTTTATGTAAGGGCTGCATCTGGGTGTCGTGATGAGAAAACTGCGAGAACCTGGGCACCTCCCAGCTCCACTGGCGATGAGGCACCTGTGCCCTGCTGGTCTTCACTGTAACGCTGGTGGGGCTCATGGCACCCTTGACTTCTAATCCCTTCCACATCCACTAGAGATCATGGACATTCACCTCGAATATGCAGATGTTTACATATGCAACCCAGTTTACACACAGGGAAACTGAGGCTCGGATCTAGAGACCTCTCATCACACACGAAGTGCCCCTCTGAGCCTGGACTCCCCACTCCAAGAGCAGTGCTCCTTCCACTATCTGGGGACACCAGCCCACCCTCCATCACAGATGCAGAACCAGAGAGCTCTCATTTCAGGCTGTGACCCCAGAATCCTCCAAGCCCCGTATTGAATAGCATTTAATGCTGATTGGGCTGGATTCCCAAAATGCCTATGGTGGGGGTGGGAGGCAAGGGGCATGACGCTTCCTGACCAGCCCGCTCCTCGACGTGGCCGAACTTTTATTCCCTCCCAAAGAAATCATTTTGCAGCAAAGGCAAGCTCAGGTCTATGCACAGGTCAGCGTTTATTTCGTACAGCGTCGCTCAGAGCCTCTGCGAGGACAGCTCTGCTCACCGTCGATACACTTGACCCGTGAAGGGACACGCTGCTGGTAAGGCACCAGGTGACGACAGTCTGGGGAGGAGCCCTTGCCCTCGCGTTGGGCTGTGCAATCCCTGGGGGTTCTCTCAAGCCGGGGAACATCACAGCAGGTTCATTTCCACACGCATGGTACAGAGATGGAACAGCCGGGGAAGACTGTCTTTTTAAACTTTGGCCACCTGGATGGGAGAGATCAGCTCAAGTGGCATTTTCTGAAGCACGACCCTCGTAAAATCTGTGCGGAGCCAAGCCTCAAGTTTAACAACGTGCGCGGTTTGAAGGATATTCAACTTTATATTGAACTCAAGCACACACTTTAAAATGTTCTGTCCAAATCTCTATTTTCACAAAGAAATAAAAATGGAGGAACCCCTCGAGTACGGTCAGTCATCCCCTTGGTGTTCTAGAGAATGAAGCAATGTGTTAAAACTGTTGCATTTCGATGTCAATCCTGTAGATTTTTAGCACTAATGGCACAGGTTGTATCGATGTGGGTTCAAAATAAACCACTTGAGTATAAAGCTCTCAGAACTGGGCCACACAGGTGATCTTTAGTAACCACTTCCCACCAGTGGCCCTAAAGGCGGAGGGTGCCGAAGGCCCCTCCCAGGGGGACCAAGAGTGGGCCCCCATGCTATCATATGCATGAAACTTCTTTCCAGTTTTGTGTTCTATCTTAAAATTAATTTGCATTGGAGTCCATTTGCTTAAATACAAAATACTGTTTAAAATTACCTACCAGTCAAATAACTTCCCCCGCCCCCCACATCTCCACACCCCCAGGCAGGCAGAGCCTGGTGTGGGGAGCTGGCTTCCCACAGACAGGTGAGCCAGGCACACAAGCTTACACTGCGCTCCATTAGGCCTGCTTGGGGCATTTCCACAAGCACAGTAATTTTATTCATTCAGCTAATATCTAAACACTTTAGGAAATTATGATATCAGCTTTAATGTATTGAAAAATAAATAAACAGCCTACGTATTTTAGTATTTAAACAAAGAAGTTCGTTAATTTTATTTACTAACAGAAATCAAAGAAGCCCCTAGCCTAAAGTATAACCTAATCTTTTACTTTTTTTTTTAAACGTAAAGAACACAGCACAGGACCCGAAGGTAAAACTCTGCTATTCGCTGTCTCTACAGAGATTTCCCGTTCAACTGATTTGGGTAAATCTGCTTCGGCCACCACGAGGCTGACGTTACGATTTGATGCATGAGGATAGCTTTCGGCATCTCAGAAGCTTCCCCATCGAAGGGTGAGCCTACTCTCCCGGCGGGGCAACATTATCCTCCAGAAAATTAAGCCCTAAAAACTGCCACCCTGAAGAATAGAGATGTTTCTAACTGCCTAAGAGGGAGGATGCAGCTGAGGGAGGAAGCTGTAGTCCCCGCACGCACCCTGCTCCTGGGGGTCACAGCAGACACCCCGACCCATCTGATACACAGCGCTGCTCGGGGCTGTCATTTCCCTGAAAGACTTAGGATCCAACTGGTTGGTTTAAGAGAGTTTAGAACAGGCTTTGAGAGGTGTTCGTGTTTTAAGATGGTCTCAAAAATGTGTTAAGGTACCCTTAAAATCACATCTGGGGTATAATAAAAAAGAGATCTGTTCAAAAGTGTTAACTAAAAGAGGAAACCACACTTCCCTCGATCTGCTTTTGTGGCCACGCTTTTTCCCATTCACTGTTTCTGCATCTGAATCAGCACGAATGCAGCCATGCAGACCTACGTGTGTGCGTGTGTGTGCACGTGTGCGTGTGTGCACGTATGTTTGGCTGACTTAAACGAAAAAAGTACATCTTGTGTCCCACAAACATCTGCTGCAGGCCTGTCAAGGGCGTTCACATCCCTGCAGACGGGACAGGTTAAGCATGGAAGTTAAAAATCAATTCAGACAGGTGCTCCCTCGAGCTCCCCCAGCCAGGGACTTAGGCAGCTCGGTGCGTGTGTGCTAACAGCTAATGTCACATCCTGATCCCAAGATGAATCACACCCTAAAGAAGACGTAAGTGTTCCTGACTAACACTCACTTCGGTCCACGTGACGTCTGGGCTCCGTTTACACAACATCAACACAAACGTGGAAGCATGAAAAATCCCACTAAACAATTCTTCCTTTTTGGCCTACACAGTGCTACAGAGTTAGTGGGATGGTTGTGTTGGTTGTTTTTAAATCTTAAGCAACTGAACATTAGCATAGCAAGAGGTTTGAGGCTTTGCAGACAGTAGTCTCCCATTTTCTTTGACTTTTGCTCCTTGAAAAAAGTATAACATCTAAGGAGTTTCAAAGCTGGGACTTGCTATCACCGGAGCTGGCCTGCGTACAATGCGCTGTGCGTGGGGTAGCCCTCGATCAAGGGACGGGGGACCACACCATTTCCTTCTGCGCGTCACAACGCAGCAAAATTGCCGCAAGTTCTGAAAAATGCTTAACTTACTTCAAACATACATTGCGTGAGTCATCCCTAAGCTCAGACAAAAACCAAGAGAATCAAAGGCAGGAAAGAATACGTAAGGAGGAGAGAAGCCCTCCTAGAACAAGCACACGCATCCTCTACACAGGTCGCACACAGTAAAAGGAGTCTTTGCAGCTAATATAGCCTCTAATATCGATTTCATTTGAAAGGTCTCTCTGGGTTTCTTGCCAGCATCATACGAAACAGCAATACTTCTTCCACCAGGACTTGGAGAGGTTTTTCATTTTGTCTGGAGTCCTGCTTTTGGATTTCTTTGGCTGTTGCTGCGTGTCCGAGTATTGAATGCCGGCGACGATGGCCGCGTCAAAGACCTCTTTGAGGTTTTTCTGAGTCAAGGCCGAGCACTCGATGTAGGAGGCGGCTTTGATCTCCTCCGCACACAACTTCGCCGCGTCTTCAGGCACCGGTTTCTCCTTGCACTTGTCCAGCTCGATGAGGACCTTGACATCTTCTCTGAGATCCGACTGAGTTCCCACGAGGATGATGGGGGCTTTGGGGCAGTGGCACCGGATCTCGGGCACCCACTTCTCGGTGACGTTCTGGAAGGACGAGGGGCTGACCACGCTGAAGCACAGCAGGAAGATGTCCGTGTTGGTGTAGCACAGGGGCCTCAGTCTGTCAAACTCATCCTGCAACCAAAGCACCAAAGTTATTTTTATTTATTTTTAATATGTCTTTATTGATTTCAGAGAGAGGGAGGGAGAGGGAGAGAGAGATAGAAACATCAATGATGAGAGAGTCATTGATCGGCTGTGGGCCTGCAACCCGGGCATGTGGCCTGACCGGGAATCGAACCGCGATCTCCTGGATCCTAGGTCAGTGCTCAACCGCTAAGCCACGCCCGGCCGGGCCAAAGTTGTTTTCTAAATCCACCCCATGGGTAAAAAGGCCGCCTTAACATTTTTCCTACAGGGTCTGGCACACACTACAACCCACCGGTTACAGAAAGAAAAGCCCATGTCTTAGAAAGGAGCCTGCTGCTCCCCTAAGTGGGGTCCCCGCTCCCGGATGCACGAAATCTGTTCAACGTCTTCATCAGCGCTCACGACCTCCTTGTCACTTACCATAGAAAGAGCACTTGAATTAGATGGATTTTAGAAATAAAATTTACTTTAGCCTTCAGGTTAGAGTAACTCGGCTACTCTTCTAAAACGTGGACAGCATCCATGCTGGTCCTCAAGGGAGCCCCAGTCTATCAGCACAGCTCCTCTCTTTGCCAATCCAGCCCTGCCCATCCTCCTGGCAGCTGTGAGTCATGCCCATTTCATGCCATCTGCCCTGTGCACACCAGGGCAGGGCACACACAGCGCAGAAAGGAAAGGCAGTCAGACACGAGGACAGGCCCAGCACTGAAGCTGAGGACCTCGTCGGGCCACTCTCTTCGGCAACTCCCAGAACCTACCCCTCTCAACGTCATTTACAACACTGGTCAATACATTCTCGTTCTTGCTGGATGCACCTCTTTCCTCGTTTTACCCTCTCTGTTCCCCTCCTTCCTTCCCTTTCTCTTACGTCCTTTGCCCTGTCTCTCTGCCAACACTAAGGGCCTCCACGCGCCGTGCTTTGGGAAGATAAAGGACCAGAGAAAGGCAGACCCACCTACCCTTAAGGTACAGAGACCCGGACAGAATAAGTTAAGAGCTGGTTACATGAAGCAGCCATCATGCCACTGCAGTCGCCCAGTTAACAGAGCCCATGCGGGACACCAGGCACCGTGCAGGGCCAGGGGGTTCGGCTGCGAACAGACAGACACGGCCTCGGCTCTCATAAAAGTATCTGTCCCCGAATCAGGGTATTTTTATATCTCACACCCTATAGTCCCCTCAGTACTCTACTCAGCTCATTGAAAGCTCCCACTCGACCATCACTGCAAATATTTACATCATTTCATTCCTACTTAAAATTTCTACCCTTGGGCGCCAGCGATCCTCAGGTGTAACGTGACACATACCCTCCCAGTGACAAGGAGAAGTCCAGTGCCATCCATTTTTGTTACTAACTGGCACACTCTATTCACAGACTACTATTCACACGCATATTATTCTGCACCCATTTTTCTAGGAACAAAGGAAACCTGGATGTGTTTTATCTGAATGCGCTTTCTTTGTTTGAAGTTCTGTGTTTCAATTGCAGGGCAACGGCCACCTAACAATATTAAAGTCGGCCGGCCAACTTGATCAGGAGTGACGATGGCATTTCAGAACGCCACTGCCCCTCGTCAGTCTTCTATAAGCCAAAGTCGAGAGAGGACGACTTGGGTTTCTCAGTGGCAACTTTGTGCTGGAAGATTAAACACAGAAACTCAACCACGACGGGCCCAGCTCTGAAGACCTGTTAATGAAACACTCCCTCTGTTCTCAGGGGCCTCAAAGGCAGAAGCATAAAACTGAGCCGGTGTGAGGTCAGCTCCCTCAGGCAGCGCACTTGGCTGCTGGGAGGCACTCACCCTTGGCTGTGCCCTGGAATCTGGAGTTGCATTACCAAGAAAAAGAAAGGCAGGCACACGGGCCGGGCCTGGAACAGGGCTTTGGAAATCTGGCTCCCCAGACCTCTTGAGATTCTGGCTAAGGGGTTTGAGAAGCAAAGCAGAAATTAAACCCTCCTGCTCACTGGCTGACCAGAAACCTTAGCTATTTGCTGAAATAAATGCAACACGCGCATATGTGCGATGAGGCCAATGGGAATGTACCCTCAAGGAAATGCGCCCTGAGGTCCAGCAGTCTGTAGGCTTCGCCAGGTCTGCGGGGAGGATCTGGTTCAAGGGCAGGGTTGGGCAGGCAGGCAGCTGGATAGTAGTGTCAGTCAAGCTCCGATCTATTTATTTATTTTTTTCGTATAAAGATTTTTCCACGTGCCTCCTGGGTCAAAAGGCTGGAGGATTTTCAGCTCTTGTTGGCAATGCTACAATGAACTAGTCTTATTTCAGTGGTGCCAAAAGCAGGTTTCCCGAAGTCCTCAGTCTCTGATCAATTTTCACTTGAGTAAGACTGTGAGTCTGGTGTTAAAGACTCCTTTTAACATCTTACATACCCACCTAGCATCCCTAACAAGAAAACCCAAGGGCACAAGAAGCAATTTCTAGCGATTTCTCTGGCCAGCAGAGAAGTATTCTTGAGCTTCTACATGAAGCCTGCTTTGGGGTCCCAGGTTATGGCTACCTGTGCTCACAATCTGCCGCAGTTGGAAGTGCAGATGGCTTGAGTCACTGTAAATCCACGAGGCTATCATGAGGACTGCCTGGAGGAGGGGAGTTCCTTTGCTGAGTCAACACTGAGCAAACAGGGCAGGAGACAAATCAAGTTCCTTAAAAGGTAGTTGATCAGCTGTGGGGTAGGGTGGCTAGAAAAGGCCAATCGCCTTGACCAGCTTTGCTAACAGTCAAAACCAATACTAATTGATAACTGGGGGGCACGAAAAAACTGACTTCACCTTACCAGCTGTGCATTTTTCACAGTTTTTACAGTTGGTTTTCTACAAATCTTTAGATAAACAGCCTCATTCATTACCTAGTCAGGTACACTTTCCTAACCAGTACATCAGACAAGAAACATAACAAATCTCAATAAAAACATTGCTGGGAGATGGGAAGAATAAATTCCAAATAAACCAAAGCTTACCAACTTAGCACCCAAACCCTTTGTTCCCTAAATATGTCTTTCATGAAAACATTTCTAAAACGATTCTCGTGTTTCTCTGACTTTTAAAAAGACCATGATAAGAAAAAATCAAACTCTTCCTTGATAATTCAGGATCGTTTCTACAAAGTTTTTGTTTGTTTTTGGGGTTTTTTTCCTGGTAAAAGCCCTATTCCTCTTTCAAAACTGCTGAGGTTTTCCTCCGGGATCCACCCTTCCTGCACCTCGAGCCCACATCACTTTCCCATTTATGCAACTTCATGGTTTCTTTCACAAGTTCCACTAACTGGCTTGTCTTCCCTGCAGACTGCATGTTGAGGGGCCCATGCGCCCAGAACCTCAGGCTCCACTCATTCATCGTGATTAAACCTAGCAGGTGCCGGGCACTGTGCAGGCACCAGGTGTAAGCCTGGGCCCAGGAGACACAACACATCACGGGTGGTGGGTGGGGCGGGCACGACCCGCTTGCTCTGCCCTTAAAGGCTCCCTGATAACCCAGCCTTTCGGTCTCTCGTCCCATCCTCAGGCTCTTAAGCTGCCTCTTCTTACTTCAGCAGGGAGGTCACTATTTATTGAGGTCCCACTCTGCCCTCATTTTAATTCAGAAAATCTGAGCTGTAGTAGGAAAAACATTCTCACTTTATAAAAAGCAATTAAACTTTAATGATAAATACCAGCAAGACGTTCAGAAAATTAAGTATCAGAAGAGCCCGGGTTCTTGGAATTTTTTTCTCCCCACAGGTAATAAAATGCAGACTCTGTTTGGTTTACTTCTGCCCCTGGGAAGCTGGGTGCTCCAGGGGTCGGTGAGGCCAGAACAGAAGAGGCTGGCTTACCACGCATGCCACAGTGGCCAAACGGGGGTTCAGCTGGGGAGCTGGGGGGTGAGGTTGCCCAGCGGGTGTGTCCTTGAGTTTGAAAAAGAGAGTCTGAACTGGCTGTCCCAGAGGAGGTGAGCGACCTGGAAGCCCCGGCTTGCTGGAGGCACTGGACACACTGGGAGCCAAAGTCTTAAAAGCAAATGGTCATGTGGCAACACCTCAGAAAGCGAAGTAAGCACTTTTCCTGCCTACGAAGTAGCCCCCAGCATTTTCCCTAACCCAAGCAGGTACTGGCCCTCGAGTACTTGTAATAACCTACACATTTATTAACTGTCATTTCGGCAAACTCAAGAGATGGCACCCTAGGTTCCAAGAGAACAGAAACTTCAGCGACTTGAGCACTGTGCCAAGGGGGGACTGGTGATTACCAGCCCCTGGAGCTCTTGAGAAGGTCCCAAGGGGGACCTCACACCTGTATCCTCTCTGTCACTCCCCGACTGTCTCACCCAAGTGCCTGGCCCTCAAGACAAGAATAAATGTTCACGATTTGAAAGACTGAGTCCAGGTCAGTCTGTCTCCAGCTCAGGGCGGCTCCAACCACTGCATCTCTGCTTCCAAGGGCCACAGTGGCCCTAGAGCCAAACCACAGCTTAGGAAGGGACACAGTCACACTTACTGACATAAACACCATCTTTTACTTCAGTACATTTCTTAAACATGTAGCTTGCTGACCTCTAATAAATCGATTCTAAGATATTAACAACTTACTTTGAGAAATGATTACAAAGCATCATTGATAGCTTTTAATAAAAACCAGAAAGTAAATAAGATCAAAAACTCCTTCGAGATAAGAGCTGTTTTTCACCCTGTTTTCCCATCCTGCCCACGCAGAGCTGGCCACACCCCACTTTATTGGTGTAGAGCGGTTTCCTGCACCCCAGCCTCTGCGAGGGGCCAACAGCAGGGGTGGGGCTCCTTCATGAGGCTGCAGAATTGCTCAATTATTGAGGAAGGTTATTTGTAGGCCTTTAAAAGGTCATCTCTTTTCCCAGCACTGGGCAACCACGTGATACTGACCTGTCCCGCGGTGTCGCACAGCTGGAGTCTCACAGGCCGCCCATCCACGGATACCACAGCTAAAAACAAGACCAAAATGACCATCAGGGGGTGCCTCGTAACACTTGCTGAAGAGTAATAGTTTTAGCCTGTACCCCCATTCTCTCAACCCCTTCAGCGCCTACTCTGGGTCCCCTAATGAATTAAAGGCTTCCTTAAAACAAGAGGCCCGCAAGTCACTTTTGTAACCCACCCTGCCGGGCTGACAATTCCATCCACTGCCACAGACGAGGCAGCAACCCCCTGAGCCTTTGAGGGACCCCAGGAGGGCCTGTGCTGTCCTCCTGGTTCCGAAGATTTATTTGCCTCTCACTCCAGTTTCAAAAGACCTAAAAACAACACTGCAGGGTAGGTGGTGGAGGGCGCCAACCTTGCAGCTCTAAATCAGCGGAAAGCCTCACAAAGAACTGTTTTCCCTTGGGAAACGGTCAGAGACATCGGGGTTTATCCTAAAAGTGTAGCTTGTTTTGCGATGTGCAAACACTGGCTGCCTGCATTGTCCTGTTTATAAAAGAAGCCACTGCTTATCTCTCCGCGCCAGCTCCAAGGGAGCATTCAAAGGAGAAAAGGAAAGGAAAGGAAAGGAAAGCTGCCCACCTTTCCACGGGGGTGGGGCCTCTGGGGAGGGACCTGCATGGGGCCAGGCTTGGAGGGTTCTTTCTACAAGACTTAAGCACTCAGTTCTGTCCCAATATAACTTTCTAGATTGTTTACAAATATTTATATTAGTTAATGGAACAGCAACAACAAAAACAGGAAAAAAACAGTGCCATTTAGTTGGGAAGCTGGGAAACCCATTGGCACAGCAGTTTGTCAAGGGGACCTTGGAGATGGAAGAAAGCAAGCCCTTGCCATCATGATTTTCTAAGAGGTCAAGAAGCATTTTTACTTTTTTTATTTTATTTTTTTTTAAGAACGAGAGAGTGTTTCACACTAGCTTCTGGGGATTTTAACTTTTTCCTCAATTTCAAAAAGACCTGGAAAATCAAGGTAAAGAATCCCTTTATCTTTGTGTCTAGCAAACCAAATAACAATAGCACCCCATACAAGAGCTTTAAGTAGCTTAAAGAGAGAGCGAAAAGATACTAAGAATCAAAA